GAACCCTTTGGAGCTGTGATGCCACCACTTTCTCAACCACCTTCCCCAACAAGGGGAGGTGGGAGACTGGATGGAAATTGTCCCGTACGGTATGATCCCGGAAGGCTTTCTTGAGGAGGGGGTGCACCAACGTCTCCTTAAAGGCGGCTGGAAACATCCCTCCTGCAAGGATGTAGTAACCATCACCTGGAACCAACTACATATCACCTCCCGAGCTGCTTTCACCAGCCAGGGGGGACATGGGTCAAGATGGCAAATGGTGGCCTTCATAGTCCCCAGGATCCTTTCCACTTCCTCAAGGGCAACAGGATCAAACTGTTCCCAGATTACTGGGTAAGAACGGTCCCCTGGTATCTCCCCAGACCCTGCCCCATACTTGGAGTCTAACTTGGAATGAATCCAAGCAGCTTTGTCCTGCAGATGCTCTGAAAATTCGTTCGCATGGCCCTGCAAATGAACCCCCCCATCCCCCTTGCCAAAGAGGGACCTAGTGATCCTAAACAGGGTCGCCGGGTGGCATTCTGTGGACATGATAAGGGCGGAGAAATATTGGCGCTTTGCCACTCTTATTGCCACAATGTAGGCCTTGATAGCAGCTCTAACCTATGTTCGGTCGGATTCAGTCTTTGTCTTCCTCCAGCGGTGCTCTAGGCGTCTCTTGACCCTCTTCAGCACCCTCAACTCCTCCGTAAACCACGGGGAGTGTTGGGGCCGATGTGGCAAGAGAGGTCGCATAGGCGCGATCCTGTCCAAGGCCCCAGCCACCTCCCTATTCCAAGCAACAGCCAAGGCCTCCACTGGACCATGCAGCAGATCCACGGGAATACCCCCCAGCTCCCTCTGAAACCCTGAGGGGTCCGTCAGGTGCCGGGGGCGAATAGAAGACAGTATTTGAATCCTTCCATTCTCCTTCTGGGCCAGCACCAAATGATTCTTGCTTGAATCAAAAATTTTTCCTAAGAGTAGCCTCTATTACTTTTAGAATTGTTTCTAAAATTGTTATGAGGACATAGTAGAGAGCTCTTTGGGAGCTCTTTAATAAGCCCATATATTATTATTAGATTTCCTTAATAAACCCATGTATTGTAAGATCACCTCAGACACCTCTCTCAATTCCCAGACTTGGAGCACCTGCAGAAGGCTTTGCTTGCCTCGCATTCAAAACTCCACGACAGCCAGGTGCAGTTGGAACGGCAGCGGACTGAGCAGCAGCGACTACAGGAAGAGATCCAGGGCAAGCAGCAAGACCTTGTGCTGCTTCAAAAAGAGTTCCTGGCTTTACAGATGAACAATTCCAGGTGGGCTAAAGCTGGTGGGAATCTGCTGAGAAAGGGTATGGAAAAGAAGGATGGAGATTGAGCTTTTCCTTGACCTGGCACTTACCAAACTCCATACTGATTTTTTGGTCTTGAGATGGAAGGGGCTGCATTTTATGCATGCTAAAGGACTGATACTTCAGATGGGCTAGGAAGCACTGATGGAGATTCCAGGAGTCTCTTAGGTTTCTTTTAAAATATCAGAACAGCCCTGCCAGATTAGGCCATTAGTTCACCATTTTGTATCACAGTTAGATGCATTTAGGAAACTCACAGGCCTGGACTGGATGGCCATAGTCCTCTTCCACTGCTGCTTTTAGTGACGTGCATCTTCACAACAAGACCTGGTGTGGCAATTCAACGACTAACAGATTTACTATGGCAGAAGTTTGTTGGGGATCACTGTTCATCCAATCATGGAATTTAATCCATAAAAGCTTATGAACAATAATTTTGTTTCTAAAGTGTCATTAAATTCCTTGGGGTTTTTTTGTTTTGCTTTATTATTAGTATAGGCTTCTTTAATAGACCTTTTGGTAGAAATTAATTTATTAGCTTATTTCTTCTAAAAAAAAGTTATTGAACGCTACAAGCTCAGGACAAAAAATAACTGGAAAAAGCAGACAAAAGGAAGGAAAAATGAAAGAAAAAAAATAAGAATGGTCTACCAACCCCTTTTTGTGTCTTCCATATGAGTCATTTTGATATAGCTGAAGCATTGCTCTCCTTCCACAAGTATCTGAAAGGGGAATAAAGAATGTATTTCTATAGGGCATTCCCACAGTAATCCCACAGTTCTCAGTGAGCTTCTTCTTGGCTATGTGAGGATCTGCATTTGGGCTTTCTTCATCTATCTGGCCATATAAATTTCCTAGGCCAAAGTGCAGGAACAAGGAACTTTAAGAGGGCAGAGACTATGTGAGAGGAGGGATTTTCAGTTCTTCTTTGGGTGGTGTCATCTAATCTGCCACACTTTGTATTTAAGAGAAATCCACTGTTAAGTTTATTCAGATTTGAACCATTTGAGTCAGATTTGTAGTCTCCTTTTAGGGAACTCATTGCAAGGCTTAATAGAATATCTTGTTTGTCTGGGGCGGTCTGAGGATTCGTGCCCAGGAACAGGGGTTGACTAGAAGACCTCCAAAATCCCTTCTAACCCTATGATTCTGTCTGTGAGGGATGGCAGTCTCCTTCCATGAGACTTTGGTGAAATCTTCAGTGCACGGGTTTTGGCGAAACATTAGTATGAGCACTGCAGAGACATTTGACAGCTCAGCCAGCAACAGAAGCCTCAATCATGACTCTCGTTTGGGGGAGGGGGGATTTTTGCAGGCTTCAACACAGAGTGATGATGCTTCAGCAGCAGTCTGAAGAAAACAAAGTGCTCTTCCAGACCCAGCAGGCTGAATTACGTGTCTATGAAGCACAGTATGGCCCACTGCAGAAGGCAGCCTCTGGTATGTCCTTACTCCTCCCCACTCAAGCCTTGTTACTACACTGCAGGATGCTCAGTTGAAATCTTATACAATTTCAGAAAGCAGCAGTCCATCTGAGGCTTCCTGCACAAATACTGTAGTTCTCTGCTTCCTTCTGTGATTATAGGAAACAGCAACTGAGTCACTGTGTAGGAGCTATAGCTGCTGATGCCGGAGCAGTCCAGAGCTGCAGCTGCTGACCTGGGTTGACAGCCTGGTGTTTTCTTTGTAGGGACACATAAGCTGCTGCTGGCAGAACGAGGAATCCATGTCACAGGATACCTTCAGGACTACAATACTCTTAAGAAACAGATTTTGGATGGCAAGACTCTGATCCACCAGATGGCATCACTCCTGCAGCCTGGTCTGAAACTACAGGACAACACGGTAACTGGGAAGGTTAGGTTGCTGGGGAGTGGAATACAGATAGTCCCCAGTTTAAGAACAAGTTCCATTCCCAAGGTCTGTCCTTAAGTCAGATTTGTATGTAAGCTGGAACAGTATTATCGTGTAATATTTTATAAGTAGTATTGGGTAATTAACTTGAACCATTGTGTATTTAACTCAAACCATTGTGTATTTAAGTCAAATTTTGCTACAATAGGCTCCATTCTTAACTATGGGTCATCTGTAAAAGGGGTGTTCCATTGAGATTTACATTCCTTAAGGGCTCCTTCTTTCACCACTGGAAACAGTTTCAGGCAATACTTTGAATGTCCAGGATAAGTAATAGTTCAAAATCCATCTTCATATTATTGGGAATGCTGCAGTGCTGTGCTCTTTCAAGCAAGGAATGGTAATCTTCTAAGCAGGCCCAAGAGTGAGATAGAGCAGCAGTTATGAAAAGGTACCTCACCAGCCCTTTGGGGCAAGGGAGAGGAGAAAAGCTATGGTCCCTTGCTTTTCTGGCTCATCTTAGGCCAGAGGGAGGAAGGAACCACCAAAGGCTAGCAAGGAAGTCAAGTGAGGGAAATGCAAGACATTTGCCTTAACCAACCTCTCTATTTCCACAGATTTTCTGCCAAGAAAACATCAGGAAATTACTTGTCCATACTACTTCTTTGCACCAGATCCTGGAGAAGTCCACTTCCCTCCTTGCAATGTTTTGGAGATCATCGCCTCCCATGCCTTGCGTTTCAGCTCCAGTAAGGCAACCTGCAAAGGAAAGTATCCTGCTGTTACTTTTTTTTTTTTTTAGACAACTCAAGGGGATTTCCAAGCACCCCTTATTTGCATCTCATTCCATATTAAAATACCGAATTTTCCAAAAGTTCATTAGTGGGAACGGGGATGAGGAAACATTATTGCTAAGCTCCTACCACTTCCCCTGTTCTTCAATTCATAGGATTGTGGCAGAGATGGCCCTGTTTGCTGAATCCATTGCAGTTGACCAGTCATTCCACACTGTTCCATCTAGAGTCTCCTCTGACCATTCTGAATAGCTTAGGGTTGCTGGAGGAGGGAAGCCCGTCTATGCTCTTGTGGACAAGCTCTGGGACAGAATAGGGAGACAGGAGTGTGGTGGATGGATGGTTGAGGAAATGGGGGGGATACAGAAGCCCAGCAGAGGGAAACAGGAAGGCAAGAGTACAAGATAAAATGGGGATGTTGAAGGGTAGAGATACAGAAACCAGTGAGAATAGCATCCAGAAATATAGCTTGGCAATCACAATAGAGAGATTAAAATGGGGAGTTAAAAGAAGAGAGAATACCTGGGGGCTCCATCCATTTTGCTCTAGATGTGCCCATCCTTAGCTTCCCCTCCCCCCACCCTCAAATTTACTTTTACATTGGTTCAGAGACTTCTATGTAGCTTCCAACACATTTTAAAAGCTTGCGAAGAATTTTAAAATACGTACTCCCCACATACAAAGTGTTACAGTCCATCTAATCTTCCAGAGGAGTCTATACATCTAGGTTACTTCAAAAAATAAAAACTCTTTCCTTGTTTTTTCTTTAACAATATCCAGCTATTATAACCCTAAGGAATAAAATCCTTGTTTTCACAGGAGCAGTCAGTAGCTGAAGAAATCCAAATACTCAAAGCCAAGTTGGCTGAGCAAGAGAATCGTGTGCAGAGCGCTAACCATATTAAAGGAAGCATGGAGAACTTCATTCTCACTCACTGTAAGTGTCCTTCTCTTTTGTGAAATGGATTAGAATAGGACTGACTTCCTGTTTCTGGATGCCAAGCATCCCAAGTAACAAACTCTAGACCAGTAATATGGCTCTGCCTGAGCGTCACGGTCTCTCCCCACTACATTTTATTCTGTGCATCTGAATCCATGCTTGACAGAACTCTTGAATGAGTTTGGGCCAGGGAATATGGAGAGAAGGGGGAGGGGGGGCATATTTACCTTGCAACTTTACACTAGCTGCTCCCACAGGATCTTGGGAATTTTGTGTCGGAAGGGGTGATGCCCTCCTATTCAGCCCAAAGGGACCTAGAATTTTTCAAGTGTCAAACCCCAACAAGCTTTGGAGAACTTTTCCACATGCCACTGGAATGGGACTGGAGATACCTGTCTCAATCTGCTCTTTGATGAAAAGGAAGAAAGTTAATTCTGCTTGCAGAGTTTAAAGTGGGGGTGCTCCGCTAGTGAAATTCAGATATTTGAGCAGTTACAGTTATAAATTAGATGAAGAGGCTAAAGAATCCTTATGAAGTCCTCCTTCCACAATGACAATGGCTAAGCTCTTCAGAGAGGATATGATTCTTCTTCACCAGCTAAGTCTATACACCAGAAAGGAACATCTCACAATGGACTTGCTAAGTGGGCAATAAAGACAGAGAGAAGAATTGGGGATAGCAGAGAGGAACAAACTGATTCAAGTTATGGTTGATGTTTTCTTTACTACAGTGACTGGGACATACCATGTGCTGAAGAAAGCAAGGATTAACCTGGAGGTATGTTCAATGTCAGCTCTCCTTCATATGATGCTGGCATTCCAGGGTTGAGGGGGGAGAGGACATGCAAAGCTGTCAGTCTCCTGGTCCAGGAAAAGGGAGCCTCCAGGTTGCGGAGCAAATTCTCTCCTAGCTTTCATCACCTGGCCCTCAAAAGTCTTTTTACATAGTCTTTTGCTTTTTATCTAACAAGATAATATGGAGCCTTACAGCCCTAAAGCTGAGCCTTTGCTTAATATGCTAATACTGACATCAGGGTGAATGTCTTCAGCAGTTGACCCTATTATACAAATGCTCCAATTCTGATGGCAAGAGAGGGCATCCTGCTGTTCTGTTCATATGGCCCACTTTTGCTCTACATTTCTGTTGTCAGAGCATTAAATTGTAACCAAGGGTATTAGCATGTGTTAAAGCTGATGCTGTGAATACTTCAGGGTGGGAGGAGGGGTATTAGAGGACAAAGCCTAGTAGAAATGTTAGCATCTCTTCTTTACATCATTTAATTCCAGGGGATGTCCCAGCAGCCTAAATCCATTTCTTCCATTGGCTATTGAAGAAATGAATCCATCCACATGGCCAGAAACAAAAGATGAAGAAAATAGATCCAACTTTAACTCCTAATTCATCTAAGCTAAGCAAGAGAATGAGGCTGCTTAAACTGCCAAATCACCTTTGGCCAGGAGGACATGGATTCCAGAATTCATCCCAGAACCTCACCACCATCTTGGCTACCAGCTCTGGCTAGCATAGCGTAAAACTCCTATGTAGTCAGTGGCATGGCACACAGGTTTTTCAACCATCTCCTCATATGCTCTGCTGCTGGACTCCAGCAGGAAATTTATTTGGAAATGCTCCCGACATCAGTGCAATATGATAATAAGACTAACGCTATGTATATGGAGTGTACAAATACACAGACTAGACCACAGTGGCACATGCTGCTGTCAGAGAGAAGGGTGCTCTAAGAATAGCACCCTCAGAGAGTGGCCTCCAAAGGTGCCCTAGTCTTACCATTTGATTCTTTGGCGTACGGTGCAGAAGTCTTTTTATGCTGTTAGGTTAGGGAATGGATACATCATGTATTATTATTATGATTGTTATTATTATTAAGACTGTTGCTTTGTACTGTTGCTTCAAAGGATTAGGACCTTGATATATTCTTGGCAAGTGTAATCTTGTTGGTCTGACAATAAGGTGCATTTAGCCCCTGAGTCATCTTTTTTCTCTGATTATCTGAATTCCCACTAGTTAAAAAAAAAAGAAAAGCAAGCTGGAGTTTGCAGATGTTGGAAATTGGCATCCATTTTTCTTATTCTCAATATAAAGAGGCCTGCACTGCCTCCTAAATAAGCCTTTGCTGGCTTCAGAAAATCACACCGTTTCATATGATTGCAAACCACTTCCATTCTCTTCAGAATCAAGTGCCATTTCAAGAGCCATTTCAGGTGAGTTTTAGGCCTGAATTGGCTTGGAGGCCTTGAAAGATAACCTATTCTAAGAGGGGGAAACCCTGTGGGAAGAGCTTTTAAAACCATCAAGCATAGTGTCCTTCTTCTAAGCTGTTTAAATTAAGAACCGGGGACATTTTTTGACAGTAGCTCTATTTGGATGAACAATAAGAGGAGAAAGTCTGCAGAACTACAATTCACTCCTCATATATATGTTATGGACTTGATCCCATACGTTTGCTCAACAATAAACCTGAGACATGACCTAAAGTAGGGTTTTATCTTAAATTTTCCATTGATCTGGGAGAGGCAGTGGTGATAGTAAAACAAGATTACCTGTAGTGGGCAAATGGTTGATTGGATTATTTTAATGGTGTTCAGGATGAGGCTTCAAGAAGCAAATTCATAGTTTAGGACTGTTTCCCCTACCTGCTTTGTCCAGACAAGCACAAATGACCTTTTGGCACAGAACAGAAAGTTTAGCAGCTATGGCTCATGCTGTAATCATGCTGACCAGCAACTCCCAGGATGGACTACTACAATGTACTTGACAAAGAAGAAATGAGTTTGGGGGCATTAGGCATCAGTGCTGGAACAGTTTTGCCATGCTTATCTTCAGATCACTTCATGACTGGATTGCTTTTTTGATCACAGGCCTACGTGTTTTGAAAGGTGTACCCATCCCATGAGCTAGTAAAAATGGGATCTCCTTTTCTGCACCACTCCCACTTATGACATATTTGCCCAAGAAAGATTCTTGCCAGCTGTGTTTAGTTGTTGGGTTGGTCTGGGTTTTTTTTTTTTTTTTGGCATTTTAGCCACCTGGTGTCTGAGTGTTTCTCTTTTTGAAAATCCCAGCTGTTAATTGCTGCTGGTACTGAATAACTGTTATAATTTTGTTCTGCGGCACTTTTTTAAAAAGCTGTCCTAAAATGTTTTTGAAGTCAAGGCATTAATACATAACAGAAAGCCTTTGATCTTATTTACTCCCAGTACCAGATAAGAGACTACTTATCTTCCTTGCCAAGTTGTTCTGTGCTGCTCTCAAAGAACTCCAGTCATTACAGCCATTGGCAATAAAGTACTTTCTGCTGGTCACCCCAAGGAAGAGCTCCAAACTAAACTCAAAGTCCAATATCAGGAACTCAGAATTAAGCTTGTTCTCATTTCATATCTTTATTACTGCAAGCAGGTCATGCCATGTTTCATATCTGAACAAGAGAAGGATACCAAGAAAGAGAAGACTCAGCTTATCCAGCCCTTTCTGATTCAAAGAAATTTCTGAACAAATTACACTCCTTGCATTAAGACGCAGGTTAGGTCTGGCAAGACAAACCAAGTCCATTAGATAGCGTGCAGTGGAAGGAATACGGTCCAGTGTCATCCCTCAAATCAACTTCATTCCAGTAGCAGTTCTAGGCTAAATCGGTGCTCTTGATTCCAGGTACAAAACCGGAGGCCAAAGTGTACCCATGTTCTACAGTAGCCCCAAAGCCACAAGCAACTCTTACTAACTGCTCTATCATAGCAATCGACATGCAAGACCCACACTTATTCTGAGTCAGGCCCTTTTAATTCTTCCTACTCCCCAAAGCTGTGCGCAGGCTCTGTCTCCTTAAATCTACCTCTTCTGTGGCTGCAACTAGCATTGGTCACATGTTAGCTCATCTGAGCAGTTCATCCTGGTCTGGCCCTTTCAGCTATCTTGTCAAATCATAATATGGGGGCTCTAATAGAGTCAGAGCCTCATGCCCTAAGTTTAAGTCACCTGCTCCTTTGGTATTTCAGATAAATCTTAGGGCTTTTTTCCACAGTTATGAATCAAAGGAAAGAGATCAGTATAGTAAGATTATTAACAAGCTCCTTAAGCCTTGCAAGGCTTAAGATAACCATTTTCTCATTTCAACCCGTCTCCCTCAAAAAAGTCCAAAAGTTCTGTCCACTTATTCTGCAATGGTGAGACAGAACTAATTAAATTCCATAGCAGTTCAGATACTCAGTTAATAGTTAGAAGTAGCAATACATGGGAAATCTAGGTAAACACAGCAGTTCTTAAATCATGCAAGCCAATACATCCTTCAGGATTAGAGCTAGCAAAAAGCTACCAACTGTGATGAATAGAAACAGAACTTCCATCTTAAGATGCAGTTACATTTTGAAATGGATTTCTGATTTGGCTCAAAGAACTTCAACACAAGGCCCTGCACCAGTTCAGAACCAGTCAAGACCGGCACGATCATAAGACATTAATTGGTTTTGAGAACTAAACTGGTCTCTTTCCAGCTCTACAGTTGTTTATTGTGTGGAGTGGAGGGGTGAGGGGCTTTTTCTTTCTCCAGAACCTAAGACAGCTCTGACCATTGCTTCTTGACTCAGTGTTGCGGGTCAGCAGCATTGAAAATGAAGGTTTTTGTGCTGCTTCTGAGCACTGGGAAGTCCAAAACTCCTCTCTCCCATAAAATGGCAACCATGTGGAAACACCCTTAGCGTGCTTGTTCCATGTGCCCAAAACCAATATCTTCAATAACTAGCCATATCACTTCTTCTGCACAATCGAGTCTTTTGGCTCAATTAGTCAGCAGATGGAATAAACCTATTTAACCCAGGAGCTAGCACAACTGTAGTGCCTTTCATTGGTGTACCCAACAGTGGAGAAACTGCTTCTGAATGGTGCAGAAGCTACAAGCTACATAGTGGTCCAGCTATACAGGCAATCCAGGACTGGGCCTTATCACACCCACAAAACTGGGCAAACATGTGAAGGCCTTTGCAGCAGTAGATATTGAGAACGTAAGAGCAGTCCTACTATGCTAGGGCAGAAATGTGCCTAATCTAGCACCTCACTTCCTACTAGAAGAGGTTTTCAGTACTTGAGGATGGGCTATCCACAGTAGTTAACGTTTAAAGATATGCAGTCTCTAAATCTGGAGGCTCCATACAGCCACCCTGACGTATACACAATGGCCATATGATTTGAAAAGAAGGTGGCAAAGAACTTTCTTTCCTTTTGAATGTGGAGGGGGAAGATTGCAAGGCAAGACTCCTTATTTCTTAATGTTCCCCAGGAAGAAGCCAACCCCACGTGTACAGTTTGCAATATATAACAGATAACAATAACCCACCCAAAACTTGATTTTACTAGCTTTGTGCCACTATGAGATGCAAGTTGTATGTCCCAAATAGCTGTTTGGGAAAGAAGATTTCATTGTCCAGAAAAATCAGGACAGGGGCTGGGTCATCCAAACCTTTGCCTCTGATAAAAGAATCTGGAAATCAACTACCCACCCTCATGCCCACTGGTATTCTGGGATATGCGGAGAAAGCAAGTCTTTGTGCCCCTACAGAGAGATGCAGGGATCAAATAGGCTTGTAAAGAAGAGTGGTAACATACTTCTTCTTGTAGCGATGTGTGGCACTGAGTACCATGACACCATCCTATGGGAGAAGACACAAGAGAAGAGCTGAAGAAGAACTGTACTGAACAGCAGTTATAGATGAAACAGATTCATGCATACAATTTTATTATCTAGGAGATTTTTCACATGTATGATTTCATTCTCTACCTCCCTCCCAAATGTTCTGAAATAAAGACAGTGGAGAATCAAAATATATACAGGATGGCTCTTTCCGTGACATCTGAGAGGACACAGTCATGCGAAACCGTGGCACCAATGCAGAACAGCCCACAAGATGGGGAGAAGCTAAAAGCCTCAGGCATTACTGGAGTTTTGCATTTTGGTTTCTCTACAAGCATTTCCATCCTGCTTGGAAATCTGAAATGCTGGATTGGACAAGAAGTCACTCCCTCCCATTCTTACAGTAGAGAGAGAGTACAAGTACAACAAGATGTGTTAGAGCACAATAAGAACAATAAGAGCATACAAGTACAACAAGATGTGTTAGAGCACAATAAGAACAGGCAAGATGGACATTATTTACCTTAATGGAGAGTGCATAGAGGTGGTTTAGCATTACGTGGTTTGGCTCTGGCAAGAGGGCTGGGTCACACTGAAAGAAACACATAGGACTCTCATCATGCAGCTATTTCTTGTTCTGATCTCCTGTCAGAACATCACCTCAATCTGGACATATATGAAAAATTATCTTACACACATACTGTATCACCAAAGGTAGGCATAGGCTGTCTTGCTCCAAGATTCTGGTTCTGTGAGAATTTTGCAATCATGAAGTTTGGAGCAAGATTATTATATTTTTATTATTATAATTAAATGTGTATGGCTCCTGACTCTCGATGACTCTGGGCTGCTCACAAGTTAAAAAAAAAAATTTTTTTTTAAATTACAATGAAAAACAAAAATAGGAAATAAAAGATAGCAAGATGACAGAACCAGACTTGAATGGAAAAAAGAGAATCCAAGGGGGCCTGACTCACCCTTGATATAGGTCTGGGAGAAAAGCCATGTCTTCTGGCCCTTTGAAACACCAGTAGGGTGAGGGCCATTCAGATTTTGGGGGGCACCCTTATCCAGAGGGCAGGCACTGTGACAGAGAAGGTGCATTTCCAGGGTCTCAATAGATGGCAGTGTTTAATCAAAGGAACCCAGAGCACACCAACCCTGACCAGGCTGATGCTATAAGAGAT